ATTCAATCTCAAGGTCCATAAAACAATACAAAATCAAAGCAGAGCAAGCACGTACCCCCGAAACATCAGAGGTGGGATCAGGTGCCATGGAGGAGTGAACATCCCCTGCCGACCGGTCACACCCGCTGTGTGATCCTTGTCATGATCAGGAAATAACGGAAAGGAAATCAATTTCTGATTGACAACATCTATGTGGTTTTTGGAGACCAGGTATTCCAACAGTCTACTGGAATCCACATGGGTACAAATTGCGCCCCGTTATTAGCAGACATTTTAATATTCATATGAAGCAGAATTTATGCAAAATCTTATGCGTGAAAAGGAGAAAACACTTGCTGTGGCCTTCAACTCGACATTTAGATATATCGACGACGTATTGTCAATTAATAATGGTAATTTCCATTCCTACGTCGATACGATATATCCTGGTGAGCTTGAGATAAAAGAAACCACAAAGTCCGACACTTCTGTTTCATACTTGGATATTTTACTTGAAAAAGACACTAATGGTAATCTAACAACCAAGCTATATGATAAACGTGATGACTTTAACTTTTCTATCGTCAACTTCCCTTACTTATGCAGCAATATGCCTCGAAGTATATACTAGTATGTCTCAGTTGATTCGATACGCAAAAGCATGCTCTACGTATGAACAATTTCTAAAACGAGGTAAATTATTGACAAGCAAGTTGACGAAACAAGAATATCAGCAGTCTCGTTTAAATGCATCATTTCGTAAGTTCTATGGTCGATACAATGACCTTGTCAGCAAATACAGTTTATCATTGAGTCAAATGCTGACTGACGTTTTTCATACCAATTGTTAGTCCATTATTTATACACTGAATTGACGACGGATTTTTTCCGTTATTTCCTGATCATGACAAGGAGCACACAGCGGGTGTGACCGGTCGGCAGGGGATGCTCACTCCTCCATGGCACCTGATCCCACCTCTGATGTTTCGGGGGTTCGTGTTTGTTCTGCTCTTATTTTGTATTGTTTAATGGACTTTGAGATTGAATACTGTTCGTTATCTCCACATCCCTATGCAAAATACAAACATCTTTTCAAAGAAAAATAAAAGTAATACTACTGATCTGAAACTGATGTTACTAATATATCTATAGTTATAAACTCCGCTTCTTGTATTTTTTGTGCAGTAAAATGCAATTAGGGATACAAATAATGACTTCATTGAAGTAACTAGATTTTCATATTTTATTTGAAGAACCTTGAAGAAATATCTTACTACTGTATCAGAAGCTTTTAGTACTCTAAATACGAACTTACAGTACCAATCAGACCCAACCTGATACCCAAGCAATCCCAGAAAGCAGTCCCCGGGTCTGATCTGGGACTGCTTTGTGTCAGGTTGGGTCTGGTTTGCACTGTACTTCGTTGATGTTAACCTTTTATCTACAATACAGTTGATGCTTTATAAACAAAAGTACTAGTAGCAATAAATATCATGTACATATCTTGGTAACATCAGTGAAATCTATGGAGATATCGAATAGTATTATGAAAATAATGGCCAATAAATATTTTTAAAAACAGCATTTGACTTAGTGAAAAAAATGTATTTGCTGACAATGTCATTGTATCGACCATTTAACTTAGGAAATGATGATTTTGAATTAGATTGCTGATATTCTTGTTTCATTAACTTGACTGCCAGTAACCATGATCTCCCAATTTGTTTTAGACATTGTTCATACATAGAGCATGCTATTGAGTATCGAATCAACTGGTAGATAGAAACCCCGTATGCAGATTATGAGGGTATATTGCTGCATAAGTAAGGAAAAATGACTACTGAAAAGTTAAAGTCAACACGCTTAGCTTAAAGCTTGGTTGTTAAATTTCCATTAGCGTCTTTTTATCATATGGAGAAGCTGTTGGGATGTTTACTTCAGAAATTTTAGTAGATATCAACTATGTAAGAACCTGGATAATTTAATGATAATCGATATTTATATCGCAAACTTCATTATATTACAAAAAGTACTGATGGCTGAGTATATCACTATACATACCGGTATATATTGGAAACTTCAGTACCGAACAATGTGGAGAAGGTACGAAAATGACTTTATCAGCAATGCAAGTATATATCAGCTTAGTAAGAATCCTGTTACTTCATTGCCTTAAGAAATATTCTAGAAGCGCTAAAGATATAAAAAGATAAACGTAAATCGTCAATCATATGGTATGTGAAAAGAACTTCGAACAAATTGCTTATCAGTTGATATCAGCTCTCTTAATACCCAGCTACTTGAAGAACGCCAATATTTTAGCAGTAACATATACCATGGTATTTCACAAAATGTACTTGTAGCTATAGACATAACTGCAGATATCGAGGTAACTTCGGTGCAAGATCATGTAGAGAAGCTTTGAGAAAACTCATATCAACAATATTAGGAAATATCAGCTTTTTTTAAATGATGTCGATATTTGTATCTGAAACTTGCATTTTATTTACAAAAAGTATACTTACAACTGAATATTTAACTTCATTCATCTTGGATATTCAAGTGTAAGATCTTTGGTGAAGCTAAGAGAAAATTAACAACAATATTGTTGGTAAAGATCACCTATGTTAGAATCAAGTTACTTCAAGGATGTCTTTACTTTGTATTCAAACTTGGATTATTAGTATGTTGCACCTAATTGGTAATATCTGAGTTAATTGCTGTAGATAACTAGGTAACCTTCTGTGCCAGATCATGTGGAAGAGCTAATTGTTTTTATCAGCAATATTTGTAGATATCAGCAATGTGAAAACTGTTTACTTCAATGATTAAAAATCTTATTCAAAATTGCATAATTTAACAAAGAAAAAGGTACAAGTAGCTGAGTTTATTAAGACAGAAATCGTGGGTACTTCAAAGCCAGAACATATTGAAAAGCTAAGACATTGTTCGTTTTTTTTTTCAGCAATATTAATAGATATCAGCTATGTATAAATCCAGTTACTTCAATAATATCAACATTTATGTCTCAAAATTTCACAATTTTGCACAAAAGGAACTAGTAGCTGAAATTGTTCTTAAAAAAGATATATTGGTAATTTCAGTCTAAAGCACGTGGAGAACCCAGGAAAATGTTTCATCAGAATATTAGTAAATGTCACCAACGTAAAAATACAGTTACTATAAAATATCAGCATTTGTTTCCAATGCTTGCATTATATTACACAAATTGTACTAGAATCGTAGTTTATAACTGCAGATATCTTGGTAACTTTATCGCCAGATCATGTGGAGAGGCTATTATATTGTATCTATCAGCAGTGATTAGTACATATCACTTAGGTAAAAACCAATAAATTCAATGATGTTAATACTATTATTTGTACTGTAAAATTTTTATATGTCTCACAAAATATACCAGCAGTTGAAAAAATGAAAAACTATAAACGGAAATTGTCAATCGGGTTTAATGTGGAGAACCTCGAAGAAATTTCTTATTAAATGTATCAGTATAGATATCAGCTTTCTAAATATCCAGCTACATGAAGGATGTGAATATTTTACCCTATAAATTAATCAAATTTTAAAAAATTATTATTAGTTAAAGATATCACTACAGGTATCTTTGTTACTTGAGTGCCATATCTTAAATCATATTCAAGATATTTCGAAACAAGAAAACTTTATTGTATTCATTTCTTTTTATTAACATTCAACATTCATTATACTTATAAAATGCGTGGAAAGCTTTTGTGTTCAACGCACGCACCATAAAACGGAGACGGGGTCAAAGGTTATTTGTAGCCAACTTTACTTACTTGTCGTAGCCAGCTACTAGTAGCTAGTTACTAGTAGCTAACTTTACTTACTTTTCGTAGCCAGCTACTAGTAGCTAACTTTACCAACTTGTCGTAGCTAGCTAATATATAGTATCCAGTTTTTAGAAGCTAACTTTACATATCTCTGACAAAACAAATATCAAGGTCTTGTTTGAATTTAACATTTCAAAATATTCATTATCTTCATCTGTTCTAATATAAGATATGCATAATTTAGGGGAAGAGGAGGGAACCAATAATATGCTTTCAATTTTACTTTCCTATATTTTACCTGGCGCTTGAGCACTTTGAATAGAATACATAGACATGACCTTAAAAGTAAAATATGAATTTGTGCATTGCGTTTTTTTTCTTTTCATCTGGAAAAAGAGGGTGACTTTTATAGGGAAGACAAAAATTCAGTCTCATACTTTTTTTCAGAAATTCTTTCTATATGTGTACATAGATTGAAACATTTTGCATGGAGAACATGTTTGCCCATGGTTTTGAATAAATGTAGGTATATCTGTTTTACGTGATTTATTTCAATATTGCAAAGTTTAAGTCACCTTTGCCGGCAGTTGTGTCACTTAGAATGACACCCAAAGATGTTTTATCCCACACACACACTCACACATATACAAAACAAAGATCTATATCATCCCGATAAAAATTGTGTTCAAATAATGAGATCAAAGTTGAGGAACGATCAGGGCGGGTAATACACCGAGTAATATACACAGAAAGCTATTTGCCTGTGAAATAAAAAACTTTTACTTAAAAGAAAACTGTGTAGTATGTATCCTGTAATTGTAAATTTGAATTTTAATTTGTTATAATTTTTATCATCATTTGTCAGGAAAAAGTGAAGTAATAAATAATACACTTAAGCGAGTTGACATTATGCACATTATACCCAGCACAAATATTATTGATTTCAAAATTTTTATATGGAAACCTTTTCAATAGAAATGGACCTCGTAAATATATTTGCCTTGTAATTAATCATTTGCAAAATTGTTTTAAAAAAAACCATTCTGATTGTTCACACAAGTACATGTACTCTGAAGCTGACATTTAAGAAATGCTTGAGTTTCTGTTTCTAATTGCCAATATCTATGTGGTTTTTTTGGGACCAGGGCTTCTTACAATCTATTGGAATTCCCATGGGTACTAATTGTGCCCCGTTATTAGCAGGCAGAATTTGTCCAAAATCAAGTCAAATATTTTTTTTCTAGGTCCGTCTGATGTTTTGGAGGTCCGTGTTTGTTCTGCTCCTATTTTGTATTGTTTATGGACTTTTAATCTTTAAATAACGTTCATTATCTTCATGTTTTATTTGGACTGGAAAGGTTCCCATACTATTGATATTGTAATTACATGTACATCAATAGGGAAAGGCTGTCCCAAGTTTTCTAATCCAAAATCCTTGAAATTATTGGTTTATATCAAAACTGGGAATCTCTGAAGACTATTAATGACATGTGTCTAATATCCCTTGAGGATTATCCGAGGGATACCAAAAAACTCCTTGAATCTGTGTCCACTATAGACTCAAAGGAATAACACCTTTTTATATCTACCAGTATAATTTCGTTATTCTGAGTACTGAAGAATGAAAAAGTACCTAACGACAAGTATCCTCGGGGACAGACTGTCCACCAGCGGAGATACATGTTCAAAGATTAAAATAATATATATGGAGATAACGAAGGATATTCAAGCTCAAAAGTCCAATTATTCTAATTTCTGACTCCTTCCAACAACGTTGATAAGAAATTATTGACGAGTTAGTTACCGTGGCACTTAACCCTGAACTTAGTACATGTCAAGTATTATCACGAAATCGACAGTTTATGTAAGACGGGGGATTTTCAGTCAAAACATTTCTCCGGGCCAAAAACAAGGTATGCAGGTATATTTTTTATTAACTTTTTTTGAAATTGAAATTCAGAATAGTGAATTGATAAATATTTGACTTTAAATGGGGACTGTTGACAAAAATGGTTCCTAGAAGTTTAGCGAAGAAGGATGTTAATTTTGTTTAGATTTTAAAATATTTCAACTGGGTTATGTCCTCAATACATATAAGAGATAAAATTCATGATAAAAGTTTTTTTTAAAAGTCAGACAACAGCTGAACATTATCAAGTGTCGCTGTGAAACATGATATAAATTAAGTATTATGCTTTCTTTTCACAGTTTCGTACTTTATGATTATTTCAAATTTCGATATGAATCATATTCCTCGACTATCTAATGATGTCTACGTGGGACTTTGCCATGAAATAGGCACTCCTGATGAAATACGGCTCAGAAGAGACGCGTTCGACATTTTAGAAGAGTTAGATAAGCCGCTACGCATCAAGTATGGACTTTACAAAATGAAAAGCGGGAGTAAACGTGAAGGATTCAATCTGAGCACTTCGGACGAGGATTGGATGCTCTGGCCTCCAAACCATAAGGTAATCTGTGATCTCTCTCAGACCCGCCTTTACCGTATCCCACAACACACTGTGATCCTGATGGAGAGTGAGAATTTACCACCGGGATTTACCAGACTTAAACTCATAAGCCCATCCAATGTTGATAAAGTCATATCCTCCCGTATAGAGATAAAAAACGAAATTTATATATCCAGTACATTATTTCGTGATAACCATATGCGATTCCTGGAAACCATTTATGTCACCACCTCTACTCCTATTCATCATGGGCCATGTTCTTCATTTGTTAATGAAGAAGATATTGAAGAAGACTACGCCTTCTGCTTCAGATCACATCACTGGCCAAAAACATCCTTACCGTGGATACAAAGATGTTATCAACAAGGGTGGCCCTCGGAAGCTGTTGTATCGGATATATTAAGCGGTGGATTCCACGTTGTCCCTATAGGCAGCACACCTGCGAAAGAAGAAGAATGGAGAATCTCATTTTCACTAGCAGAGCAAAAACTGGTCTATTCAATGAATCACTGTCAATTTCTTTGTTATGGTCTCTTTAAAATTTTTCTGAAAGAAGTAATCAATTTTCAGAATCATACACCAGTTCTTTGTTCATATTTCACAAAAACAGTTGTATTTTGGGTGATTCAGAGTAATAGGTCTTTGACATGGTCAGCTAATAACTTATTACCTTGCTTTTGGGAATGCTTTAAATTATTAATTCACTGGGTGCATACTGGAGAATGTCCAAATTTTTTTATTCCACAAAATAACATGTTCCGACTGAAAGTCACCGGTTTTGTACAAACTTCACTGTACTGTCAGTTGTATGATTTGTATAAAAAGGGAATATCATGTCTACTTTTGAGTGAAACCTTGAGATCTTATCTCAGTAAAGCTATTTTAGACACTACAATGAAAGTTTGTTCACAATCGAGAACTTCAGGTATACCTTTCTCAATATTAATGTTAAAGTTATTTAACGAAATAAGAATACCTGCATCATCGCCAGAATTTTCTACTATTGAATTATTTGCAATTTACATTAAACAGATAGAAAATGTGTTAAAACAAAGGTTGTCTCTATGTAAAGCAGTTGTATTACAATGTATTACATCAGATGTTTTAAAGAACTCGGCATTTTTGATGCATAGTAAAATATATCCACACAAATATCGCAACAAGGATTATTACAAGGCTAATAAAGTGCCAGCATTGTTAAAACAGTCGTGTGCGTTAGGTTATGTGTCAAATATTATGTATCTCGCAATTCATTTTTACGGAACAAAAAGGTACGAACATTCTCTTAGTTGTTTACAGGTGGCACAGAGGAGAATGTCAATGCCATATATTATGTATTTTTGTCCTGTAAATGAAGATATATTTACTCACTGCATTGCTGAGATGTCTCTGAGTAACATTATAAAGAAAGTACTAGTTTCAGATATTGCTTTAAACAATAAATACACCTACATTGACGAACTAGTAACAGAACAGAGGATCAGTGAAAGTAATGGTAGGTTGACGTTATATATCCCACCAATGGTGATGTTACACTTGTTGTTTATACTGAATCACCACAGACTGGGTGACACATTGAAGGCACATTACTTTCTAAGAAATCTCCAAATTCTTCTACACTCGGATGATTCGACTTATAAATATCTTCCTCCTACTCCTTTCAGAGACATTTCATGGCAAATACTGGGTATCTGCCAACAAATCTGTGGAGATTATTTAGGATCCCTACACAGTTATCATTATTCCTTACAACAGGAACCAACTCAAAGGATTCAGGAAGCGACGCTGTTCAGAATGAATTCTCTGTCTCAGTTACAGATGTGATCCTTTTATCAACTAGTGCATTGTATTAGATCATGTTTAATTTTGTTGATAATCACAATCATTTACTTTTTATATTTCTTACATCTATCTTCTGTTTTTATTGAATGGTAATTTATATATGCATTATTATGCAGCGATGTCTACTTTAGATGTTAAAAAATTGTCGAAATATAAATTGTAAATATTATTTGTATTGCATGATATTTTAGATTTAACGGCTGTATGATGTATTCCTTTTAGATATAAAGCACAAAGTAGGAGTCTGAACTCAGTTTTGATCTATAGAATTTGGAGTCTTCTAAAGATCAACAATCCCTAAGACATTTCCTTTCAAGTATTAATAAATATGATCATCATAATGGTGCATCTATTAAAATTGATAAGTATGATAATTATATTTTTGTCCCCGCTTTCACTGAAAGTGGGGGTGGGGTGGGGTGTTTATTTGGGTTTGTCTGTCTCTCCATCAGTCTAGACGATCCTCCGTCTTTATTTTTATCCGTCTGTAGCACTTTTGTTTCCACACGAGAAGGCGTTTAGCTTTTGCATTGAAATTTGATATCAAAACTTCCTATGACCAATAAAATATTCATGTCTCTAATTGATGTTGAGGTTTAAAGTTCAAAGATCATAAATCAATAATTTTTATCTGTTTTAAAACTTTCATTTTCGGACGATAATCTCGAGAAGGATTTCAACCTTTGCAATGACATTTTATACAAAAGCTCCCTACGGCTTAAGAAAAACCATTATTGATTTTGCAGTCTAATGTAAAAAAAATAATTCTATTCCAGATATTTTTTGAAAAGCAAAACTTAACAAAAAAACAATCAAACATATCAAAAACAAATCATGAAACATATGGAGATAACAAACAGTATTTAAGATAAAAAAATCCATAAAACCATACAAAATAGGAGCAGAGCAGACACGGACCTTCAAAACAACAGAGGTGGGATCAGGTGTCATGTGAGCACCCCATGGCGACCGGTCACACCCGCTGTGGGCTCCTTGTCGTGATGGAAAAATACTGGAAATCCGTTGACAATTCGGTGTATAAATAATGGACGAACAGTTAGTATGAAAAACGTCCGTCAGCATTTGACTAAATGATAAATTGTGTTTGCTGACAAGGTCATTGTATCGACCATAGAGCTTACGAAATGATAACTTTAAACAAGACTGCTGATATTCTTGTTTTATCAATTTGTTTGTCAATATCTTGCACCGTTTTAAAAAAAAATATTCTTACGTAAAGCATGCTCTTGGGTATCGAATCAACTGAGATATATAAATTCCGCATGCAGATGATAAAGGTACGGGGCGAATTCAAAGAATACAGTATACTTTCTTTAACAAAACTATGACTGGGCGAATTTAAAACGGGGCAAAGTGGTTTGCAAATGTGAAAGTGCGAAAATAAGACGGGGCGAAAATAACCCTGTACACAGTATTATGCTGCATAAGTAAGGGAAGTTGAAGATTAAAAAGTTAGAATTATTATGTATATCATTAAGACTCATTGTTAGATTACCATTATCGTCTTTTGCAAGTAATATATCCAAATATGAAAGAGCTATTTGTCAGATTCTGTGGTATCTTTTATCTCAAGCTCATCAAGATAAATTTTATTGACAAAGGAATGGAAATTACAATTGTTAATTGACAATACGTCGTCAATATATCTAAATGTCGAGTTGAAGGCCACAGAAAGCGTCTGAAATCTTTTCACGTATACGATATTGGACAATAAATTTTCCGCTTCTTATAAATACAAAAGTAAGTCTGCTTATAACTTGGCGCAATTGGTACTTATGGGAATTTCAATACATTGTTGGAAGACCTTGTCTCCAAAAGCCACATAGATATTGTCAATCAGAAACTCGAACATCTTTCTGATGTCAACTTCAGAGTACTTATGTGAATATGATTATGTTTTCTTTAAATTTCCTTTTTGAAAATATAATATATATAGGTCATTGGTCATTGCAAATTATTTGTTAAAACACAAAAGCTGACACCAAAGAGATGCTTCAGTTTCTGATTGACAATATCAATGTGGTTTTTGGAGACCAGGTATTCCAACAATCTATTGGAATTCCCATGGCTACCACTGTAAGCTTAAAATAACAGATACAACATAGTTTGACCCATTTATTTTATTTCTGAATATTTTACTAGGAAAGAAGTTTATGATACTTAACAACCCAGCTTTATGATGAACTTTTCAACGCTCATCTTTCCTTACAAATGCACATCCTATTGATATGTACGAACCTTTTTATTTGCCGGAAAAAAAATAAAATTGAGATGTGCACAGTACATGTAGCTCTGGTAGTAGCTCAAAAAAATGCTTGAGTTTCTGATTGACAATATCTACGTGGTTTTTGGAGTCCGGGTCTTCCAACAATCTCAAGGAATTCCCATGGGTATCAATTGCGCTCCGTTATAAGCAGACCTATTTTTATATTCATATGAAGCAGAATTGTGCAAAATCTTAAGAAAAAAAAAGTTGCTGTGGCATTCAACTCGACATTTAGATATATCGACGACCTATTGTTAATTAACAATGGTAATTTCCATTCCTGTTCCATTTCTGTTTCATACTTGGATATTTTACTTGAAAAAGACGTTAATGGAAATCTAACAACCAAGCTATATGATAAACGTGCTCTACGTATGACCAAACAGCAGTCTCGTTGAAAGTCATTATTTCGTAAATTCTATGGTCGATACAATGACCTTGTCAGCAAATACAATTTATCATTGAGTCAAATGCGGACTGACGTTTTTCATAATAACTGTTAGTCCATTATTTATACATTGACTTGACGACGGATTTTTCCATTATTTCCTGATCATGACAAGGAGCACACGGCGGATGTGACCGTTCAGCAGGGGATGCTCACTCCTCCTTGGCACCTGATCCCACCTCTGATGTTTTGGAGGTTCGTTTTGCTCTGCTCTTGTTTTGTATTGTTTTATGGACTTTTGATCTTGAATACTGTTCGTTATCTCCATATCCTTCTTTACACTGGATTACCTACCGTTTGCCAATATATCACCAGAAACACGCGGTCGGCAGGGCATCTGCTTCCAACGCTGATGTTTTAGAGTTCGCGTTTGTTCTGTTTATGATATTTATTGTCTCAAAAGACTTTTGAGTTTAATAAGATTTTATTATCATATTTTTTTTCTTCAGATTAATAGCAATGTTTCAACTTTTCCTAATCATGAATACGAAATTTTGAAATAGAAGAGTTTTATCACATGAATAGGAATGAAAATAAAATTAAAGGTTGGAAATCGAATTATATTTCCGGTAGCGTCCCTTATAAAATTCCTTTGAGAATAGGCTCACTTGATACTGCATGTTTCTACTGAAAGTTTGCGATACAAATATCAAGTAAAAAGTATGTCAATAGAATCTTTCTAGCCTGATAGGATATTTCTCTGCAGATTGTATATATTGAAACTTGAACGTTATTATTTAATGCAGGAAAATTACGATAAAGCATATTCTGTATGGAACATTGAATGAAAATGCACATTATAGACCCGTTAAAAGGTATGCTTGTTATGGATAATATGGCCCTGAGGCATACATATACATTTTATGTTTACCACACCCGAACATTAATATTACTTCCTTAAAGTCAGTGAATGAGAAAGACATAAATGCATTGACGTTGAAAAAGGTGAATCTAAAATTGAAATTTTTTAACATCACTACGTTTTGCTTGTTTGTTCCGTTGTTTTAAATCCTTTGAGATCTTTTCATTGCATTTTAGACTTAACCAGTTGCCGATGAAGAATTACATATTTAGACCTTCGTTCGGTACCAAAAATCTTTGAGCAATGCGAGATCTTTTGCCACCTACTGTCCTAAGTGGCTTCGGTTTATGCTCTAGAGTTGCAGTATAAGAAGTTAATCCTTACGTCGCTGGTAATTTATTAGTGGATCTGTCACAAAGTTCCGTCGCAAAGCCGACACGTAAGGATTAATATCTTATGCTGCAATTCTAGAACATATTAATATAGCTCTAACGACGTCGTAACGAAACATAACTGTGGATGTAATATATGGAGATAACGAAACGTATTCAAGCTAAAAGCCCATAAAACAACAAAAAAATAGGAGCAGAGCAAACACAGACTCTAAAACATCAGAGGAGGGATCGGTGCCATGGAGGAGTGAGCAATAAAAGAAAAGAAGGCAACAGAACTATGCGCCTTTTTAAATTATGGGCACCTCAGAATTTTCTTACTGACATTTTTTTCCTTCACTTTACTTTAAAATTTCAAAAATAGAAAATAACGTACAATGATCGAGCTCAAAAAGCAATATACAATAAAAATTTGTAAACATCTTTGCAAAGGAAAGATGACGCGAATAAAAGTTGGTTTGCAGTATATGTGTCTACCTGTAATGAAAACAATCTTAGCTTTTTGTAAATAATTTTATGTCCAGGCTCAAATTTGCATTTGATAGACTTGCTTTAAAACACTTCAAATAATAAAAAGAAACAGGATAGATAGGTTAAAGATTCCTGAATGTGTGTAGATAATTCCTTCTATCAACATTCTGCTGATTATGTATAGAAGGTGGGTGGTTTCTGCAAACCCTAGAATTACATGTAGCACAGTGAATTTTTTTTTATTTTTAAAAAAGTTCAAAAATTCGCCTCAGGAGCTTGCTGACTCCTTCAATGATATATTGTAATTGGTTATAAATAGTAAGATCAGCAGAAATGATCAGGTAGGTTGCTAATAAACGTAATTTCACAAATATTATTGAGCTTTAAAAACATTTTGTATGAATTGAAGAATAACCAATTTTAATGAAGGTTCCATTTTCTTTCTTTCTTTTTTTATAGAATGAAGAGATAAAAAAAATTCATATCCTTCTAATGAATGGTCGAGGACAACATTATATATTTTAGCAATTTTGTAATTTAAAAAAGTATGTAAATTGTTGAAACTGAATTTAGCATTAAATCTACCCAGATATACAAATAAGAAATGAACATAGATTTTTAAAGATACCGGTATATACGAGAGCTGTTCAATAAATAATGTCCTGAACTGTATGACATACAGTACATATATCATATGACATTAAACTTGACTTTCTCT